CTAGATAAAGGCATGTACATATGCAAATATATTTATATATGAGGATGGGGAAATAGATCTATGTGCATATATTTATAGGTTTAGTATTAAGGTAGCAGAACGATATTGGGCTTCACCTGTCATTTCCCGGCCAGTGCGAGTCAGTCAGCATATGTCTGCTCTCTTGGCAGCGCGGGGGTAGGACGCACCGGCACCTATATTGGGATCGACGCCATGCTGGAGGGCCTGGAGGCCGAGAACAGAGTGGATATTTACGGTTACGTGGTCAAGCTCCGGCGGCAGAGATGCCTGATGGTTCAAGTGGAGGTACGCCCTCATCTGCAGCCATCGGTCTCTTTCGATGGCTTACATGCATCTGCTCGTGGTGCAAACAGCGATCTGAACTTAACCAACGTCTTCACAACTTCACGAGCCACGGCTGAGAATGGTTTTATTTCAGTCGCATACAAGCTCAAGTGCGTTTAGGCCACCGGTCACAGTGGTGAAAATTCTACAAGGGTGCCTATAAGTACTGTGGAATAAAGAGGGATAGAAAATGCGTGTTTTAAATAATGAGATAGCATGGTGTAGTGACGCCGCAAAAACCTGAACATTGAACTCCCAGATGACCCCGTAGTAGCAATTCTGGGTGTGTCCGCCACCCCAATTCAAAGCAGGAAACCTGTACCCCATAGTCAGTGTCAATACTGTTTACACACACTGCATAGGAACATCTCTGAAAATATTTAATGTTGATAGACTACTATAGGGAAAGAACTACTCTCACACCATGAATGGGGCTGTGAATTGGAAAGCATTTTGGCAGCATCTCATGAAAGTGGCAATCTTTCTGTGCTTCAGTTAAGTCCTCTGTAAAACAGCGATAATGAAAGTACTTACATCAGAGCGTGGTTGCGGCAAATATCATACTGCAAGCAAAGCAGAGCGCTCAGAAAAGTTCCTGCCAGAGAGCGTGCATCCAGTAACTACAGCTGGTCCTTATTAATGTAACTATCAGTGGTCCTCATTATTGGAAAAACTCATAATTGCTTATGCCACCCCACTTGTGTATATTTACCCAAGAAAAAGACTTTGCTGTGTGCAACTGGAAGCATGTATAAGAACTTGCACTGCATTCCATTGCTGCTTGAACAGCAAAGCGGCCTAGCTACCTATCAGTGGAGGAACGAGTGGACACTATGTGGACAGGCGGACCTTCTATTCAATGAATGCTATGCAGCAGCTGAAAAAGAAAGGAACTCCTTGTATGTCTGATTTATGGACAGATATGAGGGAAACGAGTGAATGAAGTTGCCAAATAAAGCATTGCAGGGTACCATGCATGTCATTTTTTAGAAAACATAAAATATGCTAGAATAAGTTAAAAAAGTATTGCTGCAAAATCACACATACCTTTGTTAAACACAATATCAATATGTGAAGCTATTGTTTTCCAGATATCTTCTACTAAGGTCTATACACTCAGAAAGTAGAATTTCCATCTTTATAACCCTTTCCTGATGAACTATGTGCTCTTTGATCTATGGCCTATCAAACAGTTCTTTGGACATCATACAGGCATTCAAATTGTGTTCCTTTTCAATATTATTTGATTTTGAAGAACAAGAAGCCCCAAAGGGCAAGATAAGGACTAGAAGGTATCCTACAGATGGGGCAAATTCCTTTAACCAAATTCTCCTAAGACAGCTCTTGGGACCTAAGCAGACTGAGCAGGTGCATTGCCGTGATAGAAACAATTCCTTGATGGGACTTTCCTGACCTGGCTCACCAATCCAGTTTTCCATTTTCTTAAACCTTCTTCATTAGAAGTCCCATGCTGTCATCTGTGGCTCTCTCTACTCTTTGGGATCCCCAAAAGTTGATTTATCTGCTTTGAATTTAACTGGCCCAGGAAATCCCCAAAGAAGCCACTGTTTCTGTTGAATTTTATCTCTCAGAAGGAACCCTTACAAAACTAAGATTAGTGTATAACTGAAAAATTTATCTGCAGCCATCCACTGATATCAGAGGCATTAATGCATTTCGTTTGGGTAAACCAGTGCATTTAACAATACTTTTTGACTTGGCCTCCTACAATGATTCTAGGTACATAAGTGTTAATGTAGAAGTGTTAAAAAAAGATTGGTACCATTTTCATTGTGAAAAATAAATACAATTCTACTGGATGTTATTGAAATATGGAATATGTTTATATGTATTAAATTCCAACTAGAATTGATAATAAATAAATAAAATAGAGTGAAAGGATATAGCAAAGTTAATTGGACTAGAAGTGTTGGTAAAGAGGTTAAATTTTACCAAAAATTTACTCTTTCTTTCAAAATACTGAATGTGAATAGAACAAATAGTTAGGAATGTTTGAATCTGAGTTTACTATATTTTTATCCAAGCAATTTTCTTTTAAAAGTTCTAAAATATTTCAAAATATCTTCTATACAGTTTCAACTTGCATTCTGAATGAAATGCATAATAGTTTCATCGATGAGTAATATGATTTGCTGACTCAATAATAGTATCAGAGTAATCAGATATATTTTTAATAGTTAGGGATGAAACAATAACTATATACTACATAATAGATGCCTACTTTATTTAGCAAAGTATTTATTTTTCCCAGAAACAATCTGAAATAAATGGTCTTATACTTCAGAAAAATCTGTGAGGGTCAACTCCAGAATATGTGAATGTGCTACATGTCATTTTTTTATATGCATACCTTATCACAATATGAGAAAAATAAAAGAATGCACATTTTATTTTGATGTGATTCTTTGGATCATAAGCTGTTTGTACTTTCCTTTGGAATTATAGGCACAGTACATCTTGATCCATCAGGCCTTGGTGGAATACAATCAGTTTGGGGAAACAGAAGTGAGCTTGTCTACATTGCATCCGTATCTACAAAACCTGAAGAAAAAAGATCCCCCTAGTGAACCGTCTCCACTAGAGGCGGAATTCCAGGTAAGGACGGCGATGACAACAGCAGCAATTATAGTCACTAACTTTTATTGAGTGCTGTCTTTCAGGGGCTGTCTATGCACTTGACATAGCTTGATCATTTAGACCTAACCACAGCCCACTGAGGCACAGATGAGGAAACAAAGACACAGAGAATTGAAGAGAAATGCCTGAAACAACACGACTATTATATCAGAGACTGAATCTAGAAATCTGATTCTACAGCCAGCATTTTAAACAGTTCCTCATTAAGCTGGTATAAAATAAAATGTCAAAATAATAGTATAGAGCCACAAAATTGGCCTGCCAAAGGCAATGTAGTATCTCACCTTTAAAAACTGCATCTGGTTTCAGTTTGTAAAGGAAATAATTAGAGGAGTTTATGACTGCTTAGGAAGCTGAACTGGCTGGAACTGACAGACAGAAAGTAATGAGTCAATGTGTCCTAACCTATATTTTAGGCAATTACGCTGACAGCTGACGGAAGACGTAGTTCACTGTGACTTCAAGACAGTTGGCATAGCTATTCCCAAATTGCTCACTTATCTTAAAATTTTAAACTTTTTTCTTCCATGTAAGATTTCCCGTTTACTGAGCCTCTGTGCAAACTACCAAATGGATCCATTTAGAAGTTTCAGAATAAGACCAGAAATTCCTTTTAATCAGACACAGCGTGGTGATCCGGGGCATTTAGGCTTCTGAAGGATGATGGGAAGCGGCTACAATGCCTGGAAAGAACGTGCCCGCTCTCGTGTGTTTGAGAAGGACTGGGGAAGGCTGGATTGCGTGTGCAGAAGCCAGTTCAGAACGTGGTGATGTTTGTTGAGGAGGAAGTGAAAGGGAACTGGACTAAGTAGGAAGAGAGAATGATTAAATGATTTGAGAGCTGCATTTTGCTGACTGATTCACTACTCTGGGTGAAAAAGAAACCAGTCTGGAAGACATAAATAGCAATTATCTATGCCTATGCCTGTGCCTATGTCTGTACCTGTATATCAATCTATCTGTCTATCTATCCACCAGCCTACCTGTCTATCTACCTATCTGTATCAATAATTTGAAGCATATGCCAAGTCTTCTGTGAATGCTGTGCCTGGAAAGTTTATTTCTGATGCTTTAAAATAACTTACCATTGATTTTTGTAAGATGAATAGCAACATCACCGTATTATAAGAAAAAGATTCTACTTGCCATCCAGCAGCTCTTCCAGAAGAAATATATCATATTATATAAATGTATCAAAATCACCATGCCAAAAGTATTAAAACACTGATCAATATATGAAGAAACTATTTAAAAGCAAACCTTAAAATGTTTACCTATAAGGAGTGAATGCAAATTTTACAAACCTCAATGAAATATGTTCACGTTTTTTAGGGAGCATGCTAAATAATTGATCATTATTTTTTAAATTGAAATGTTTTTTTCCACTCTTCTCCCTCTCCTCATAGAGACTTCCTTCATATCGGAGTTGGAGGGTACAGCACATTGGGAACCAAGAAGAGAATAAAAGTAAAAACAGGAATTCTAATATCATTCCGTGTATGTATTTTATTTTAATTTATTTTTATATCAGAAAAGTTATGGTATTTAGGGGTTTGTATAATGTGGGGAGACGAGCTTTGAAGGACATTTTCAGTTTGGGGTTAGCAGTATAGATGAAGTCAACAAACTATTTAATGTTTACTTATCGGAAATACTTTGAATGCCCTAGCAGTTACGGGGGATTTAGATCTGTGAACAGACTGAACTCAGTGTTTGCTTGTTTGCTTCTTCTACCAATTATTACAGAAATAGTTGGCTAGAAAATGAAACGTCTACAGTTGGGACAAAAAACCATGTCTCCATTACTGGTTCTCACTCACTGCTAGTTTGCTTCATCTAGTCAAGATTATTTCCAAATACAAAACATTGCATACTTTAGTTCTCTGAATCTTCTTCTTTAGCTATATGAGCTTGAAAAAGGGTGCAGAGTACTTACTCTATAAACTGTCAGGCATTGAACTTTCTTTCCATTTTTTCTAATTTATTTTCACTGACAACATACACAGTAAAACCCACTCCCATTATACATCCTTTAGATAGAATGGCCAGTGACATTGGTTAGATTTGTTACGTCGGTGAGCAGTCTTGTTATTTCTTTTCTAGCTGTTTGACTTCCATTTACACTCCCTTCCTCACAGCCTTTAAATAAATCTGTGGACCCTTTGGTCCTATGTAGATACTTGTTTTAAAAATTATCATTGTGTAATTGCTCAAAATATACAGTTCTGAAGACTTAATTTTACTATTTAAACGTCTTTCTAGGACCACAGTTGGTACTACTATAATTGACTTCATGGTACACAGTAGAGTGAGCAAAGAAACTATGTAACCCAGGCCGATAGAAGCAGATAAATGTGGTCAGTGTTTCATTGACCTACTTGTTTTATCCAGAATTACTTATACATTTTTAAAATAAGGAATTGATGGTGATGTTGTTACTTATATTATTTGGCCACATTATTATAATTGAAAACTTACAAAATAGAAATTATGGACTAAATAATTTTCTGGAATAAATCATAATTTATCAGAAGCATTTAAAATGATCAGTTTAATATTAATAGGGTAGAACTGAAAAACAATACCTAACTTAGTATATTTTAAGTGTATATCAAGCAAAATAATGATATTCTATGGGAAATGAGATACATCAAACATTGACTAATCAGATGGAACATCATTGATATCTTTTTTAAGCACAATTGTGTCTCATGAGGGCGTTTTGCACCCCTTAGGAGTGTCCCACACCCCGCCATTAGATTTTAAAAGTATTTTGTTAATCAGTGAACACTAAATTTTATATAAAGCACCATTCCACAAAAATTAGTTAGGAGTTTTATATAACCTGTTATGTAAACCAACACCAACATAAAATGATCCATAAATTCTTAACTGATAATATGCTTGTGACAATCAAGCAGAGCCCTGATTTTTTTACAGCGGAACTGATGCACACGCTTTTCTTTACGTAGATGACTTTAACAGAGTGCCCCTCAGACATGAGCTGGAAACAAGCAAGGAAAGCGAACGTGACTCGGACGAGTCGTCTGATGAGGACAGCGACTGCGAGGAGCCCAGCAAGTACATCAACGCCTCTTTCATCATGGTAGGTCCTTCGCGTGCCAACGCCCAGCCCGACTCTTCGAAACATAGACCCAGGTTATTCACGGCTCTTCATTAAGGAATGCATGACACAATTAGGTGCTTCCTCTGACGCTCTGACAGAATTGTCTGACTCTATGTTGATTGACACTTTGAAAGCTTTGCTCAATTTTTTAGTATTATGGTTTAATTCACTTAAATACTGAAAGATATTAAAGATAAAATCATAATCTGGTTATATTTCATGACGTACATGGTTACAAGCATCTTAATTTAAACAAGATTGGTGATAATACAAATATTTTGAAAATGTACACATCTAGGGAGCTGATTTACAGACTAATCAAAATCCGAAGGCTGTTGCTTACTCAAAACTTTTATTCAGATTTTATGAATTATTAAGTGGATCTGTGTCACGTGTTTATCTCTTTTTATTAAAGTGAGCACTCAAACATTTAAACTTGAAGCAGTCAAAATAACATTTATGAATATATACTGTTGGGGTTACACATTTTCCAAATGTTTCTGAAACTCACATTCATAGAATATTAGTTTAATTTTTCATTGTTTCTTTATTCAGTATAAAAGCTATTATAGGAATTTGAAGACATTAATTAAACCAGAGACACGATGAAGAACATTTGAATTGCTTTAGCAACTCCATTTTACAAATCCACTGTCTTTTTAAAGAAAACAGTTTTGTTGTATTTTTTGAAACGGGGAAACCTGTTAGTTTTCCAAAATTCTAATCCAGATTATAAGGCTGCCTGCTCTGGTAAGATTTGTAGTCTCAGATATCCAAATGGAAAATTCAAACCCAATAGCCGCTCTCCGGTAGAAAGAGGAGACAAATCTTCTTATCAAAGATTTACAGTCTAGGACACGCTATACTGGGTTGTTATGGGTCAGAATCGGCTGTGGGTCAGGTTACTCTATCCTACAGGGTTACTATAGGAGCTCTATGAGTCAGAATTCACTCAATAGCAGTGGACTTTGGTAATCTTGATTGTATCTATCCTATTAACTAAGAATTATCATTAGCTGGTGATTTTATATATAGGTACTACATTGTTGCTTGGATTTAAGAATCTTAACTTAAAAAAATATGATTATGTAGCAGCAGTGATTTCAAACTAAGGGACTCTATTTACCTAATAGTTGTTTGAAGAATTTATTGTTCTCTTCAGTTAACCATAACAGTCTCCTCATCGTTCTTATTCAGAGTTACTGGAAGCCTGAAGTTATGATTGCTGCTCAGGGGCCCCTGAAAGAGACCATCGGTGACTTTTGGCAGATGATATTCCAAAGGAAAGTCAAAGTCATCGTTATGCTGACAGAGCTGAACAATGGAGATCAGGTTCGTACTTCTGTGTGTCTTTTTTTTTCCCAAAAGAAAGCTTTTCTGTCACCCTACCGTGCAATTATTCTCCATTGTTGGATTACTTTCTTGGTCTCCATTCCCATATCTTTTTCATCTCTCGGTCACTCGATTGCATTTGTTCAATTTTGTCACTTTCATCCGATTGTTGGCCGCGATCACGTTCGCTGAATCCAGGTCATGGCTCAGGTTTTTCCCTCCTCCTGGCCATCTCTGCCCATCTCACAGGTTAGCCACATCGTTGTCCGTCCCGTGACATCTGTTAATAAAACAACAGGCTCATATCCTCTGTTTTCTTTGAAAAATACTTTCCATTGTGCTTTAGGTGAAAGTGAGCGGAGCGCATTCGTTCCGTTAGATCCTTGGACTATAGCGTGCTCCTGGCATTGCTTGCGTCCGCCCTAATACGTCAGCACACGCCTCAAGTCCCCGCGGGGGCTCTTTCCTTTCCTCGGGATGTGCTATCCTGTCCTGCCTTCTCGTCTTTGCTTTGGAGCACATGTCCTTTTCATCCAAGTTAATGAACTCTTCTAAGGACCACATTCCTCTCCATTGTTATCTTGTCTGCTGGGCCTGCTATTCGCAGTGAAGCACTGGGCTACTAACCGAAACGCTTCCACAGTTCAACCGCACCAGCCACTCCTCGCAAGGACGAACAGCCGTCTACTTCTGTGAAGATATTCGACCCCAGGAACCTTGTGAAGCTGTTCGACTCTAGCTTATGGGGTCCTAGGAATCAGAATTGACTTGAAGGCAGTGGCTATGGTTCAGCTAGAAAGTGATTTTAGGCTCATAATCCCAGCGGTTTCTCTAGTTTCTTTCAGACTAGTAAATGGTCTTTTGGTGGATATTTTTGTTCTACATTTTTCCCACTCTGGGCCCCTCTGTTGTGATCCTAGTCAGATTGACAGGTAGTTTTAGCCAAGTGTTGCACTGTGTGTCTGTGTGTGTGTGTGCTTTTGCGTCTCAGCTCTCGTAGTTCATGTGGTCCCTTGTCATTTGGATTTCTTGCTCCTTTGAGCCTCTGGTTTCCTCGCCTCTCCTTTGCTCCACCTGGAGAAAGAACAATAGTACCTCAGGAAGAGGTACTTGTATCAAAACGCTCAAGTTCTGAAGACCTACATGTTACCCACCAAAGTACGATGCAGAACATTGCTTTTATGAACTAGTATATTTTCCCAATAGGTATAGATGTTCCCTGGGTCTGTAATCCTTCACCTTTGAGCCTAGGACCTATGCCTACAAGGTGTTTCTTTATTTCTGAGAGGTTCCCATGAGTATGAACTTTGTGTGATCTATTGTCCATGCAATATATATGTGGCGTCTGTACTATGTGTTGAAATAGTCACAACCAAACATGTCTGCATGTGCGTGTGTTCTCTTACACCCTCTGACATTCCTTTACATACCTGGCTTCTTCTATACTTATTTGTAAATTATACATATTATATTTATAATTATATTATTATATAATATATTTATTATATTATTATATAATATATTTATTATATTTTAGGATTGTCTATATTATGTCCACCCACTGCTTTGAAGTTGATTCCAGCTCATAGCAACTCTGTAGGACAAAGCAGAATTGCTCCATAGGGCATCCAAGGCTGTCAGTCTTGATGAGAATGGACAGCCTCATCTTTCTCTTGCAGAGTTCCTGGTGGTTATGAACCCCTGACCTTTTGGTAACAGCGCTGTGCTTAACTCATTGCACCACCAGGGCTCCTAACTGAAGTTGTCCTGTATTTTTGAGTGCTTCTCAGTCTCTTTTTTTGCCTTGTCCATGTTGTGCCGACTTCTCCTGTATTGTGTGTTATCTGTCTAGTCAGTATCTTCCTCTCCCATCAAATGCTTTTTTGTGTGTGTGTGTAAACTTTCTCTTTTAAAAAAAATTATTTTATTGGGGGCTCGTAGAACTCTTATCACAATCCATATATACATCCATTGTATGTCGAGCACATTTGTACATTTGTGCCCTCATCATTCTCAAAGCATTTACATTCTACTTGAGCCCTTGTTTTTATGAGTGCTTCATGCACTACTTGTAATTTTACATTGTGATTCACTTATTTCACTATATGTGATGTGCTTCAAATTCTTTTGTCAGGAGATATTTTCCTGATTTTATGTTATTCTTTATTGTTTTGTAGTATTGAATCACGTGAATGTCCCACAATTCATTTTATCTATTCATATGTTGATTGACTCCTCAATGGTTTCTTTCTGCTCTTGTGAATCACACCGCAATGATCATAGACACTCTGTTTGTCACATTCTTATTTCTTTGGGTAGATACCTAGATGTGGAATTGTTGGATCTAATGCTATCTCTATTTCTAGCTTTTTAAAGAAGCACTGTAATAAAGTGGTTGTACAATTTTATATATTTCACCCACAGTGTTTATGTGTCCCAATCTCTCCACAGCCTCACCAACATTTGTTCTTTCTTTTCTTTTTAATTGGTGCTGTTATTCTTGGGGATAGGTGGTATCTAATAGTTGTGATTTGCATCTCTAACAGCTAATGATTATAAATTATTTCTAAGCTAATGATTTCTTCATGTATTTATTAGCTGCCTGGATGTCTTCCTTGGTGAAATTTCTGTTCATATTTTTTGTCTATATTTTATTGGGATTTTTTATGTCATTGAGGTTTTGATGTTTTCTATAAAGTTTAAATATTATCCCCTTGATGAATGTGGGATAGCCAATCCCTCTCAGCCTCTGCCCCATTTGTAAGTTCTGTTTTAATAGTTGGAAAAATCTTTTGATGAGGATGCGTATTTCATTGGTCAGGAAGTTTCATCTGTCCAGTTCATCTTCTAATGCTTGTATGTTTTTAGCTTGTTTGGTATTCATATATGCTGTCTATCAGGACCCTTAGTATTGCTCCTGTTTTTATTCCATGATCTTTATGGTTTTAGGCTTTGTTGACATCTTTCATCTGCTTTGAGTTAGTTCTGCGTATGGTGTGAGGCAAGGGTTCTGTTCCAGGTTTCTGCAGAGAGATCTCCAGTTTTGCTAGGACTATTTGCTAAAGAGATTGAATTTTCCCCCATTCATGCACTTTGACACTTTACTGAAGATCAGCTTCAATAAGAGGATGGATTTACATTTTGATGATCAATTCTGTTCCATTAGTCTGTGTTTCTGTCATTGTATCAGTATCACACTATTTTGACTACCATGGCTGTGTAGTAAATTCTGCGATCAGGTACTGTGAGGCCTCCTATTACTTATCCAATGTATCTTTCCTTTCCATATAATATTGATTATTTTTTTCATAATGTTAAAGAATGGTAGTGGGGTTTGGATCAATATTACGGTATATAAAAATCCTGGGAGTAATATTGACAATTTCACAATATTCAGTCTTCATAGCTATGAACATTGTCTGTTTTCCATTTATGTAGGTTTCTTACAGTAGTATTTTGAGGTTTTCTTCGTATAGGTCTTTTATGTTCTTGGTTATACTTACTCCTAAGTGTCTTAACTTTGGAGGAGCTATTAAAAATGATATTGTTTCTCTAATTTGCCTTTTGACATTGTCTTTGTTGGTGTAGAGGAGTTCAACTTATTTTTGTATGCTGATCTTTTTCCTGTTACTTTGCTATTAGTTCCCGTAGCTTTCTTGTGGAAGCTAGGATTTTGTATGTATAGGATCATACCATCTCTGAATCAGGGGTAGTTTTACTTCTTTTGTACCTCATTGAGTGCCCTTTATTGTCCTTTCGTGCCTCCTTGCGCTAGCAAGTACTTCCAGTAAAATGTGGAATAAGAATGGGGATAAGAGACAGATGTTGTGTGGTTTCTATTCTTAAGGGAACTGCTCTTTGTCTGTCTCTATTAAGAATAATATTGACTGTTTATTTGGTATAAATTCTCTTTTTTATGTTCTGGAATTTCACTGTTATTTCTATTTTGCAGACAGTTTTTATCAGGATAGGGATTTGAACTTTACTAAATTCATTTTCATTATTGATTGAGATTATTATGTGATTTTTTTTCTTTTCTTTTATTCATGTGGTAGACTACATTGATTTATTTCATAATATTGGTAGATGACATTGATTAATTTTGTAATGTTTAGCCTTCTTTGCCCACCTGATAGGTATCCCATTTGGTCATACATATTAGTTTTTTGATATGCTGTTAAATTCTACTGGCTAAATTGTGTTTAAAATTTTTGCATCTATTTTCATGAGGGTTATTGATATGTAATTTTATTTGTGTGTGTGTGTTTTCCTGGCTTTGGCATCAAAATTATGTGGCCTCATAGAATGTATTTGGGAGTATTCTTTATTTTTCTATGCTCTGGAATAGTTGGAAAGTATTGATCTGAGCTCTTCTCTGAATGTTTGATAGAATTCCCCAGTAATAATGTACAGGGCACTCTGCAGGCCAGGACTTATTTTGCTGGGATTAAAAAAATATATTTTCTTTACTATGAGTATATTCATTTTTTGTACCTTGTTTTGTGTTAGCTCAAATAAATAATCCACTTCTAGAAAATTGTCCATTTCCCCCAGGTTTTAAGATTTTTGTAGTGAAAATTTTCCCTAGAGTCTGTTATGATCATTTTTATAATGTCACCCATCTTATTTTAATATTTCTGTCATTTGCTTCTCCTGCTTTTCTGATGTCAATTTGACCAGTTCTTTTTGCTGTTTTTAATTTTTCCTTTAAAAGAGCCATCTTCTGGCCTTGCTATTTTTTTTTTCTATTGTTTTTCTATTTTGGTTTCATCTATTGAGGATCTAATCTTCATTGTTTCCCCCTCTCTGGTATCTGTGGGCATCTTTTCCTGCTGTTTTATAATTGTTCGAGTTATATGTGTTTGATGTGGGCCCTTTCTTCTTTCTGTGTGTGTGCATAATTGCTGCAAAGGGACCTCTGATCGCTGCTTTTCCAGTGCTGTCCTGAGAGTGGTTACCTGGTGGGCTGGGACCTGCAAGAACAGCAGTTTGGACGCACCGGCAGCTCTGGTAGACGGATACAGGCTCAGAAACTCAGGGGCAGCTCGACTTTGTTGTAGAGGGTCACTAAGAATTGGCATTGACATGAGGGCAGTGAGATTTGATTATGTTTGTTTTCATTTTCATTTGAGGTTAGAATGAAAATATGTATTTTTTGTTCTATTACTGAGTTGTTTTTAAATAAATAGGTTATTCATTTTCCAGATATTTAATTTTTTCTTGTTCTTCCTGTTGCTGATTATATGTTTGCAGCATTGTGATCAGAGAGATGCTTTGTATTATCTTGATGTTCTTAATTTTTTCTATGAGGCTTACTTTTTGACATAGAATACAGTCTATTCTTCACAGTGATCTATATGTGTTGGAAAATAATGTATATTTTACTCTTCTTGGGTGAAGTGTTCTATTTATAAGGTAATTTTATTGTGAAATTTGGATATTCTGTTGTTATCCAATTTTCTAGTTTTTCTGTCCTTCATGAAAGTGGCATATTGAAGTCTCCCAGGATTATTGTGGAACTGTATGTTTTTCTTTTTAATGCTGTTAGAGTTGTTTCATGTACTTGGGAGTATTGTCACTGGTTGTGTATATATTTATTATAGCTATGTTTTCTTGACAGATTGACCTCCCCTCTATTTTCTTCAAAGTAAAATTACAACTCCGTAGTCTAATATTTAAGACCTTTACTAACTGGGCCTTCACATATATTTTTGCTTTCCACACATTTTTCCAGTTTACACACTCTTCACTATGGGCAAATAGGTTTCTTCATTGAGTCTTAATATGCCATTTTTTATTCTCATCAGTTTTAATTTAATAACACTCTATGCACTTAAGTTCTTTCTCCTTTCCTATGTTTCCTATTCTTTTAGTGAATAAAAACTCTTCAACAGCTTATCTAAAACAATCCCTCCTTCTTATTCTAATATAAAAATTTATTACCCTTAAAGGCTATCATTGGAGGTGAAATCAAATTTCATTCCTCAATTAATGATTTACATTGGATTTTTTCCTTAGTACATAGAGTTATTATTAAAAATTCCTCTGCCTTAAATATCTCTTAATTTTAGCATCAAAAACAGTATCTAATATATACTCAAGTTTATTCAGCAAATAGCCTCATAAGCATACAATGAGATTCATGATTTATGTTGTTACTTCTTTGTAACTCTCCTTTCTCCCTCACTCCCTACCCATGCACATAACTAAAACAAAACCTTTTACTGTTGAGGCAAGCTGTTCTTATTATAAAAGAAATATTTTAAATATTACCAGCATGTGATTCTACAAACTTTCTTTTTTTCCCTAAATCATGAGATGCAAGACATAAAACACTATTTGGGTATGGATGCCTATTAGGGTCAACAAATACTGGTCAGTGGATAGTGGACACTAGTTTACAGAGAGAAGACATTCTTCTGTGCTTTCCTCATTCTTAAGTCTAACCCTTTGCTCAGATATTATGTCCATGTATATAACTCTATCTGCGCTGCGGGCTATCAAGATACAATTGCAAATCTCCAAAAGATGCAATCTCTTCCTTGAAGGCCCATTGGAGTTACAGAGTGGCTTGAGTTAGTGGGGAACGGAAAGCAGTCTACAGCTCAGTCTACAGATTCTAGTTAGTGGAGGACTGGTGGTAGTCTACAGCTCAGTCTATGGATTCTAGTTAGTGGAGGACTGATGGCAGTCTACAGCTCAGTCTGTAGATTCTAGTTAGTGGAGGACTAATGGCAGTCTACACTCAGTCTGTAGATTCTAGTCAGTGGAGGACTGATGGTAGTCTACAGCTCAGTCTATGGATTCTAGTTAGTGGTGGACTGATGGTCATCTACAGCTCAGTCTGTAGATTCTAGTTAGTGGCGGACTGCTGGCTGTCTACAGCTCAGTCTATAAATTCTAGCTGGTGGAGGACTGATGGTAGTCTCCAGCTCAGTCTGTAGATTCTAGTTGGTGGAGGACTGATGGTCATCTACAGCTCAGTCTGTAGATTCTAGTTGGTGGAGGACTGATGGTAGTCTACAGCTCAGTCTGTAGATTCTAGTTAGTGGAGGACTGATGGCTGTCTACAGCTCAGTCTGTAGATTCTAGTTAGTGGAGGACTGATGGCTGTCTACAGCTCAGTCTGTAGATTCTAGTCAGTGGAGGACTGCTGGCTGTCTACAGCTCAGTCTGTAGATTTTGAAGAGGGTTCTGATATGGGTATGGAAGGCAAAAGCACTGTGCAGTCTATACTGCCTACATTATGTATGGCAGTGCTCCCTCAATTTCCTAGTTGCATTAGTAATTTCCAGGTTCTCTTTAATAGAAAAGGAATCGCATATTTGTTGAATGATTCCCCCAAATGCTTAAAATTGATTTTGGGTATCAATTGTTCAATGCAATTAATGCTTTACATAGTATAGAAAGGAAGAAAAAGGGAGAGATAGGGTAGGAAATAAAGAGTAGCAGAATAGATACAGAAAGAGATGGGAGAAGGAAAGAGAGGGCAAGAAAGGGAGAAGTTCTTCACCTAATTTAAATTCCAAACAGAATGCTAGTGAGTTTCTTGACTTTTTTCTGTTTTTTCTCCTCCTCAAGGAAACGTGTGCTCAGTACTGGGGAGAAGGAAAACAAACGTATGGAGATATAGAAGTTGATATGAAAGACACAAATACATCTTCAGCTTATACCATCCGTGCTTTTGAACTGAGACATGCCAAGGTATATAAATAATTTCAAGCATTTATATCTTTGATGTCATTGATCTGGTAGCAAAATTAATATAAATTATTCTATGAAAGCAAACAACTATCGAAACAGTATTTCAGAATAAAGTTCTTCAGCGATGAAAAGGGAAAGAAATTGTGGATAAAATTGTCAGTTTATACGATGGACTGAATTTCACCCAACTTAATGCTGCCTTCATTTCTGATTTCAGAGAAAAGATTGCAGAACTGTGTATCAGTATCAATATAATAAGTGGAATGTAGAAGAACTTCCTGCCAAACCCAAAGAATTAATCTCTATGATTCAGAGCCTCAAGGAGAAACTTCCCAAGAATTCTGAAGGGTTGAAGTGTCACAAGAATGTGCCTGTCCTCATTCACTGCAGGTAGGTGGGGCTTGCTAGGATGTGCTCTAAGAATCGCTCTTAATTGGCTGGCCTGGTTCAAACGTTCTCGTATAATAAATATATAGCACATGATCGCAGTGAAAAAATTCTTATGGAGTAATCACTCTCATGTATGCATCACTCTCCTAACTGCCAGACGGAGCCTTGGTGGTAAAATCACGAAGTGTTGGAGTACTAACGGCAAGTTGGAGATTCAAAACCACCAACTGCCCCATGTAAGGAAAAGGAGGCTGTCTGCTCCTGTAAAGACTTACAGCCTTGAAAATCTTATATAAAGGATCACTATGTGTCAGAACTGATCTGATGAGAGTGCTTTTTAATTTTAGCATGAGTTTTATAGAATTATAATAGATATTTTACATGTAGTAGTTCAGATACCTTAATGCTCAGTATCATATCATCTTTGAATTTGCAGTACTTGAAATTGAGTCTGCAATATAATATATTCTGGATAAATTAATGAAAGGCTATAATGCCAAATAGATGGATGACTATATTTACTTAATACATGATCATATGCATTGATCCACTCTATTATATGTTATAGAGTCCAGAGATGTTATTGAATGCTTTGCCTTCAATAAACATATCTTAAATTATATTTTAAATTCAATCTAAATGTTTAGCCACTTTGATTTTTGACCTAGCATTAATTTTGTAATGGTCTCAAAAAGAAAAGGTTTGAATAATATAAATCATAATACTAGACTTTATTAGTTTATGTTATTTAGACTCTTCAACTTTATCTGCAATATGCATACTAATTCACCTTCAATATCATTTTGAAAGAAGGTAAATAATAGCAAACTTTTATATGAATAATGTTAAAGTGAATAAGAAATGGGAGATAGTAAAATAAATTGAGAAATTTAAATCTACTGAAATGTTTTTAGAGGTTTTATGATGGCTCATTAATAGTTTTTGAATTACATGTGCTAGAATCAAACTTTTAGAAATATATACTTTTTAGCATTTGTTTGTTTTCAGTCTTCATTTTTTCGTTTACCAAGTTATAATACATGTTCTTGCCCTAACAACTTTAGATGTAAGTAAAAATGCATTAAAATCTATAGTGCACTGGAGAAAAGAAAACATATTTTTAAATTTTGGCACAAATATCTTAAAACTATAGGATAATATTTGTGCTGTTTTATTTAATGTTTTCTATTTTACCTCTGTGTTCTAATATCCATTGCAATACACACAATTCACTGATAAAATTCATCATTAAAGGGTTTATTTACTTATATAAACTTAACAAATTGTAATTCAAGTAATAAATGCTCAGCATAGTTATTTATCAGGACATGTTATAAAGTTCTTTCAGACCTGCTAGTAAATCCCCATAGGGGCACACTACCCTGATAGAAGCCTCAATCTGAAGGCATTCAGCTCCAGTTCCATGGGTCAGCAAACCCAGATCCCTGAATCAAGTGCCCAGGGGCCCCTCACTCCAGTAAGTCTCAGCACAGACATTCAGCTCCACCTCTGTGGGTGAGCAAGACAATCTTCTCCAATCAAGTACGCAGAGCACCCCACTCTGAAAGCCAGTCTACTGCACAAAAGCACTCAGCTTTACTTGTTCTATGGCTTGGGAAGTCCCAAGCTCTGTTCGATGCTGTGGCTCCTCATTCTACTGCTGCTCCTCTGGTGTTACCGCCGTCTTCGGGATCTAGAGGGTTCACTAAACAGTTATCTCAGGCCCAGAGAACATGCTCCACTCCTGGCTCTTGCTGCTAATATGATCCCTTCTCCTCCTCAGAGGACTCATTTTATACACAGCAGGATAGCACCCAAAGAATCCTGTTTGCAATTACTCACAGGTGAATCATATCAGTTGAATCCCCCACCTTCTTCTCAGACCCATGCAGGAAAATGTCATTTGGTGGGAATTTGGCTAAAGAGCCACATTCAACAATTCACTGCCCCTGCAATATTTCCAAGCTTCAAACCTTTTTCAAGAATTGATTTGGCATACGTAATTTGGCTTTAAGAATAAGATAGTGACTGTAACTATGAAGTGGAGAATATTCTATTTCAATTTTTAATAAATATCACTTTCTCCATAAATGTAGAATTATGTTATCCCTTTCCCCCTTTTTTCCCTTTTACAGAGATGGATCTCAGCAAACAGGAGTATTTTGTGCCTTATTCAATCTCTTGGAAAGTGCAGAAACAGAAGCTGTGATAGATGTTTTCCAAGTTGTAAAGTCTCTTCGCAAAGCTAGGCCAGGAATGGTTTCCTCATTTGTAAGTACATTTCACTCTTGCGTTGAACATATTTTGCATTTTGATTTTGACAGTTTTATTTTCTTGCTGTCACTTTCTACATGATAATCCCTATTGAATTGTCGCTAATGTCAGTGAGAGACCTAACTAACAAGAGTTTGCCTAAAATAGGTTGCAGTTGATGAACAATAAACTCTTGGTTTCTTAAAATGCTCATGAATGTCCTGATGCCCTTCCTTTTGGTTTTGACCTCTCATGTAGGAGCACTATCAGTCAGCAAGCATCTCGGTTTGGTTTACTGGGGAATTCCACCTCCAGTAATGCTGCCATAAACGTGATGACCTCAGAACTTTAGTGGCCTAAAAATATCACATATTATAGTTCAATGCTGTTCAATGGGATGGGTCTACTGGTCTCCTTAGAGGTAGCCAACTTGTGCCAAACTCCACAATTGTATGTCATCATCTCATGGTTCTCCTGGACCTAACTGGTGTAAATTGACCTCCATTGCCTGTGGGCTGGCAGTTGGCTGGCATTCAGCTTCAGGAACAATGACATGTAGGCCATATGTCTCTCCTCCATCCAAAAGGCTAGCCTTATTTACATAAAGGTGGCCAACGTTTTAGATGGAGAACGGAAGTGTGTCAAACCCATACTTGAATCCCAGGCTTGAAACTGACACAAGATGTCCTCTGCATTCCAGTAGTCAACCAAGTGCCAAGGCCAGTCCAGACTCAACTCCTCTTCTTGTTAAAGGGGCCATAAAGTCACATTGCAGAGAATGTGGACAGAAGAAGCTGAAAAGTGAACATTTTGATCCTTCCACCATGTATTATCTAAGGGTGTTAGCAGCAATAGATGATAGCCTGGAAAAAAATAGGCCATCACATTAGCTTAATTGCTCACTAAAACGCGTGCCAATTTTAATTATATATCATAGTTTGCCCTCATATATTGCTTTATAAAGATGTTTTGGGAGCCTATCATGTCCCTTGCCATCAAGGATCTCCCTAATTAGTGAGGCACAGAGCCAAGTGTTTACTAAACAATGTAAAACGTGCAGTGTCAGAAAAGGGCACTTCAGTTATTCTGGGGGGCAAGATAGGCTTCCTGAAGCAATGGATTCCTGTTGAAATTAGTAAATGATGTGTGGGCCTTAGACAAGAGGATAAGCATATAGCAAATGCAGCATCATGAGGTAAAAGTATACAAACAAGAAACCTCATGACACATGAGGAGAATGAGCACTCGTTTTGTTTTGCTAGAAGATAAATTTTGAATAGTGCCCTACAGTCCATCCCTTAGCACTATAAGGAGAGACGGACTAAGCCATTCATAATAGAATGTTCTCTATATCAGTGTAGCTGAACATCACCCAGGACTTGCACAAGTCAGTAACTCCTTCTTTCTAATTTTATCTCCTATGAATATAATAATGTAAACTTTCTTCATGTGATTTCTTTCCTTTACCAGGAGCAATATGAATTCCTATATGACATCCTGGCTAGCACCTACCCTGCCCAGAATGGACAAGCCCAGAAATGCAGCAACCAAGAAGATAAAATTGATTGTGCTAATGAGGTGGACAAACCAAAGCAGGAAATGAATTCCGTTAGTCCACCTGCTGCCCTAGACAAGACCCCGGAAGGAAACAAAGAGGCTGAAGGTTCCCTACCAAGTGGCACAGAGGAACCAGAATGTTCTGTCAATGGTCCAGCAAGTCCAGCTTTAACGCAAAGTGCATAGGAAAGCCAGAGTGAGGCAGGTCAGCCTCCTGTTAGGCGTTCCTTTCGTTTTTCTAGGAGCAGGAGAGAACAGATAGAGGGCGGAATCATGTTGTGCACTGAACTTGTCTGTGTTGAGAGCTTTGACTTTTTAATACTGTAGAAAAATATTTAAAATCATTCTACTGAAATTTTTTGGTGTACAGTCTTTTGCTTATTTTGAAATTTTATCTTTCAGTACAAAACTGTTTTTTTTCACTCTTTGCATATATGTGTGGGTGTGACTGAGAGAAAGAATGCTTTCTAGTATTTTCTAAATGCTCTTGAGAATTTTGTTTTTCCTGAAGAACAAAACACATATTTTTTTAAAATGAAAGTGTCTACTTAGGTTAAGAAATTTGATTTTTGAATCATAAGTAGTGTATGGGATCTGTATAAGAATGTCATGTATATTTCTAAAATGACCTCAAGATGTCCTCCTTGCTCTACTCATATATATGTTTTAGTTCATTGTTTTACTTTTGGAGGTAATATAAAA